TCCATGATCAAATGGAATGTATAGATGTGTTTTATATTCTTTGTACAGATTCTGTTCATTACTTGTCCTTCAAATTATGCCTTTACCAATTACTTTTATTTAAAAATAGCATGTAATATAGATATTTTTTTATTTATTGGCGTGTTACTGAAACATTTGCTTAATAACATTAATTTATGACATTTTAAGGTTACCTATAATCCTAATTTTTTAATGAAAATATTCTTTTGATATAAAATTGGAGTTGTATGCACTTTATATAATAAGAATAGGTTGTGTAGCACAACTGAATCCATGTATTTGATTTTGTTTGCTTATGATGATAAAATAGTTATTTATACTATTAGGTATCTTCATATGCAGATTAGTATAGAGAATCATTTCAAAATTATTTCAAGAAGTACATTCTTTGACATCTTAAGGTAATCTATACACGAGGAAGAACAAATTTGAATTATATGAAAATTTATTTTATTTTATTATTTGGAATTTGGAAAAATGTGAAATCTAGCTACATTAATACTGCATTCCATTTTGATTAAACAATAGTTTTAGAATCATAATTTTCAATATATTGCAAACAGTTGAAATAAATTCATCTAATTATTCTTAGAAAACTGAACTTTGAGGACTGTCTATGTGTAAACACACAAGATCAAAACACTCATCAATATTTCATGTAGTCAAATATATTTTAAACATATGGTTCAATTATTTATAAATCAACACATTATTTGTATTATAATAGCAAACAGTGGACATTTCTAAGAACTATTGTTTTAATAATTGCATTTTTAAAATATATTTTTATTGACTTCAGGGAAAGGGAGAGGGAGAGAGAGATAGAAACATCAATGATGAGAAAGAGCCATTGATTGGCTGCCTCCTGCATGTCCCTCACTGGAGATAAGCCCAAAATCTGGGCTTGTGCCCTTGACTGGAATAGAACCCAGGACCTTTCAGTTCCCAGGCTGATGCTCTATTCAGTGAGCCAAACCAGCTGGACTTTATTGTTTCTAATCAAAGCAAAGTTAGCGGTAAAACCAGTGGAACTTAAAAACAATGTATAAAAAGAAAAAGTTTTAATGCACACATTTGTAAAGAATATGTTTATTTTAATCAAAACTGCATAACATTTCTAGCAAATGGAATGTTCTGACAAAGTAACTGTTCAGAGTTCTATTAATTGGTAAGTTATTCTGATTTTTCATATTAGTCAATGCTGAAAATCATACATAGGGTTCTTATATAAATTTCTTGACCATGTTCTATTCTGCAGTTACAGGTTAATGCTATAACTAATTGATCATTATTTAATCACAGAAAAAAAGAGTATCAAGGTTACAAAGAAATAGAGCATATTTGTAAAGTGACTGCCAAGTATCAACCTCTAGAATTGTATGTATTTTTACTAGTTAATACAACTTATACTGCCCTTCACATTGAGTCTCAGGATTTATTTTATTTTATTTCTGATATATCATCTAAATGACAAAATATTCTGAAACATTATTTGTTTGTAAATGGTGAATATTTTCTTGAGTTATAATATATAATTAATTTAAATAGTAGTAGTTGATGATTATTCTAAGTTTAAGAATGTACTAACAGTGAAGATATTGAAAAACTTTCAAGGGCATTTATTTTTGGAAACTGAATTCTGCTATGTTTATTGCTGATTGCATATGGCACTGGTATGTAGAATCTTTAGAATAAAATGTAATGTGTAGATAACTATTGTACAAATAATGTACAATATAATGTACAAAAACTTTAATATATTTCTAAGTAGTATACAATTATTGAAACATATTGATACTTTAATAAGTTAAGCAAAAAGCTGTCACAATAGTTCAGTTTTCATTAAAAATTGAAGAATTTTTAAAAAACAAAACTAGTTTACATTTATATATATATTTCAGAGAGGAAGGAAGAGGGAGAGAGAGATAGAAACATCAATACTGAGAGAGAATCATTGATGGGCTACCTTCTGTATGCCCAACACTGGGGATTGAGCCCACAACCTGGGCATGATCCCTGACCTGGAATTAAAACCTGACTATCAGCTACATAGGTAAATGCTCAACCACTGAGCCATGCAGGCTGGTCTGTCTCTTATTTTATAGAAAGGAGAAATATTTGTATTAATCTTGGATCATTCCAGAAAATTTAAAGACAATTCCAGTTTAAAAATCAGCTCAGTCATTTTATTATTCTGACTTTGTGCCTTATTTTAGGACGGAACAGTAATCCTAAAAATGTTGTCAGAGAGATGATATAGACACTAGTCATAATATAATAAGCAAGATATACTTAAAAATAATAACTTGAAAGTACACAATAATGAAGAATTCAGTTTTTTTAAAAAAATATAGAAGTTTGTCAAATGATTAAAAGAAGACAAAAGTTAATATATTTAATACAATGGTTTGTTAATAAAATGAAAAATATTAGTTAATTATAGAATACCTTGGTTATTTTATAGAAATAATACAAATCTTAATTTCATTTTGTATATCTCCCACTCCATAGTGTAAAATAAGTAATTCATAACATATTTTCACTATGCATGCATCTATGAACATAGAGTAATTAATTTTTAAAAATTATTACCATGGGACCGAGAGTCAAGTCCCCACCCACCCACGTGCACTCAAAATCACGCAAGACACAGATCTGGCCAGTGCCCCCTCTCCCCGCCATTGGGCTATATCTGCTGGTCCCACCCTTGTCAAGCCCTGACTGGCAGGGGTTGCAGCCTCAGGTCCCCTAGCTTGGCACTGATGTGGGGGGCACAGCCTGAGTTCCCTCAGCCTGGGCCAGAGCAGGGGGCACACCATGAGGTCCCCCGTCAAGCCCTGCCGAGTTGGGGACACAGTCTGAGGTCCCCTATCAAGCCCCGCTGGGCAGGGGGCACAGCCTCATGTCCCCCCCCCTGGTGCCGGGGCTGAGGGTGTGGCCTCAGGTCCCTCAGCCTGGTTCTGGGCCTGGCACCAGGGTGGGGGTCTTAGCCTGAGGTCCCTGCTTATTGCTTCTTAAGGCTCATTATGGTAACTCAGCCTTCCCTGTGGGTGCAGTCATCTTGTGTTACGGATACCCCCCAACTTCTACTGTGGGTGTCGCCATATTTTTGGCAGAGTGATGGTCAATTTGCATATTCCCTCTTTATTATATCAGATTGTGTGCTCATCGCTCCAAATCTTCACCATTTATCCCCTTTTTATCCTCTTCTACCTCTCCCAATGCCCTTTCTCTCTGGTAATCAACATACTGTTGTTTCTGTCTGTGAGTTTTCTCTTTTGTTATAGCTTTTATTTGTTTGTTTTGTGTGTGGGAAGGGGTTCTTTTTTCTTCTTATTACTTACTTAATTCCTTCACCCTTTTCTTATCTTTTTTTCTTATTTAGTCTTCAGAATGAAATTTGGTAGGAAGGAAACTTGGGTTTAATATACAAAAGAGAAACATATCCTGGATTTTATTAAACATCTTCCCTTCCACATTCCAAAGCATCTGGAATATATTATACTCTAATACATTATACTCCTATCCAACTTCAAACTTATCCTGGTTTTCTTTCCAATATCTTATATATCATTTATATGCTTTCTGGCACCTCCAATGGTAATTTATGTATTAAAAAGACTAAATAGCCGAAGCTGGTTTGGCTCTGTGGTGGAGCGTCAGTCTGCGGATGGGGGGTCCCGGGTTCGATTCCAGTCAAGGGCATGTACATTGGATGTGGGCACATCCCCGGTAGGGGGTGTGCAGGTGGCAGCTGGTCGATGTTTCTCTCATTGACATTTCTGGCTCTTGGCTCTCTATCTCTCTCGCTTCCTCACTGTAAAAAATCAATAAAATAAAAAAAAATTAAAAAAGATTCATTTAAAAATAAATAAATAAAAAGACTAAATAAATTTACTTAATTAAGGTTAAATTTATAGCATTAAAAGTAATTATTTAATTTTATGCTGCCATCATATATTAACTCACTCACTCAATAAACATTAGTGTTCAGATGAGGTACAATTTTCTACCAATGTAGCAGAAAAGGTCAGTGAGCTAATGTTAAATTCTTTTGTAAATACTCATTAATTTTCTAAATCTATGTAACAGATTTAATTTCACTCAAAATGATATATTGATTCATTAAGAAAGATAATGTGATACTTAAAGAATTAAGATAAAAAAGATAATGTAATGAGCAATAGAGGAAGAAGAAAATAAAGTATACTACAGATATGTTCAAGGAAATATACACAGAAAAATTTGTGGGGATGAAAACCTGGAGCAGCCAAGAGAGACATAATGTGACTTAAAACTGCTGCTCTTTCTCTGTTGTTCTCTCAGGTGCTGGAGTTTTCTAAATAAATTCTTTGTTTCACTATTAGAAACTATTTTTTGTGCCATTTTTTCATTTTTTTTTAGTTGTTTTCTAATCTGCAATGGATTTAAAATGTACCTGGGACATCTTAAAGGAAATATATAAATACAGGGTGGGGCAAAAGTAGGTTTATGTGAAGCACAGTTTATTCTTGTATTATTATTTATTAATGATTGTGTTATTTTCCATATGAACAACTGTAAATCTACTTTTGCTCTACCCAGTATTTATGATAGGATTGCTAGGAACTAATTTGCTGAAAGTTACTTTTTAATTTCTTTCACCAGACATGTTTATGGCCAAGACAGGAAGTATATTTGATTTATAAACAGCTTTTGTAAGAGGAAAAAAAAATGGAAAAGAGATCTCTAGAAGGTTCTTTATACTATGTTCTGAAGTGATAATAAAAAAATATTGAATGGAAAACAATATCCATTCTGTTTCTTTTAGAAGGCATGCATTTTACTTATATTTATTTGTTAATATAATTAATTCTTATTACATTCTGTATACCTCTCAATAAAGGGCTAATATCATGACATTAAGCTTCTAATTTTAACTATTGATGTCATATGCACATTTCCATAAAGTATTAACAGCATTTGTGTGCTTTTTACAGATATTGGCTGACCTAGAAAACCACGCATTATTTAAGAATGATCTGGAATGTCAAAAGTTGATTCTGGAAGCAATGAAATACCATTTATTGCCAGAAAGAAGAACTCTAATGCAAAGTCCAAGAACTAAACCTAGAAAGTCTACAGTTGGAACTCTGTATGCTGTAGGAGGAATGGATAACAACAAAGGTATATAAATCTAGATCGATGTGTAATACATACCCTATGTCATACCGTGACACAATTTGAACATTGAAATCTATATAATGTCAACAAATTCCCATAAAGTTCATTTTATCCCTTAAGATTTAAGATTAAGGGGACAATTAGAAAACACCTCTTATTTTTAGTCGGCAGCTGCTGCCTCTGCTTCTTATTCATCTTTAAATCCTTTAACTCTAATGCATTATTTCAAATTTCATACAAAACAACAAAAGGGGATTTAAAGCACAAGCCAAATAGTTTTTGGACATATTTAGAACTGTATTTCCATTCTTAGTAAAGAAAATGTAATGTCACCAGGTACTTGCTTGTTGAAAGTAATATTATGTAGAAAGTTTATGCTTGTGAGAAGTTCTGAATTTCACACAGAAGCCAGTCAAATAAATAAACAATTACAAATAAGTGTAAAAATGTGACAGTTATAGCTTACAAATTTAATAGTTTTAATAATTTTGGCCTGCTGACTGAGGGGCTCGGGTTCGGTTCCAGTCAAGGGTACATGCTGAGGTTATGGGCTCTATCCCTAGTAGGGGGCATGCAGGAGGCAGACAATCAATGATTCTGTCTCATCATCAATGCTTCTATCTCTTTTTCCCTCTTCCTTCCTCTCTAAAATCAATAAAACATATTAAATAAGGATAATAATGTATGCAATTAGAAAACAGTTTAATATCATCAATAGGGAGTGATGCATTCCCATTTTAGTCTTAATCGACAGATCTTATAGATATTAAATGCTTTTAAGTAGTTTAATTTTTTTCAAGAGTCTAACTCTTATTAACTAGGATGTTGATTTTCAGTAATTATCATATTAAATGAGTATTAAAATAATAACATATAATAAGAATAACCATCACATGTAAAGTGTAAATAATATGTTGCTATAAGAACTACAAAAATAACATTAATCTCACTTCTTTGTTCTCTCTCTCCCTCCCTGTCATCCTGTGTCCTCCATTTCTCTCCTTAATATGCACTATTACTTTAAGTCTTAAAGTTTAAAAGAACACGTCAGAAATTTTGAGAGAAAGGTAGAATGGTTTAAAACCCTCCTTTTTACACTGTTAAAACAGGAAACATCAGGTACAAATCTGACTGAGAAGTTATTAGAAATTATACTAAAATTCCAAATATTTTTTTCAAGTAAAGAAAACAAATATTAACCTGTATCTACCTTGTCCTTATGAGAGTGATAAACAACAAATAACATGTGTCACATGACATGATTAGCCATCTCTTAGAGTAGATGGATGCAAAGGAAACTCCATATTGTTTTCCACAATGGCTGTAACACTCTGCATTCCAACTAAGACTGCACAGGGGTTCCCTTTTCTCTGCATCCTCACCAGCACTTGTTTCTTGATTTATTGATGGCAGTCATTCGGGCAGGTGTGAGGTGTTCTTCCATTTTAGTTCTAATTTGCATCTCTCTGATGATAAGTGGCACAGCATGTTTTCATATATCTATTTCCCATCTGTACATCTTCTCTAGAGAACTGTTTATGCGAGTCCTTTGCCCACTTTTTATTGCATTGTTTGTTTCCTGGTATTGTATAAGTTTTTATATATTTTGGAAGTTAACCCTTTTTTAAAGTATCACTGACAAATATACTTTGGGTTCCCTTTTCATTTTGTTGATGATTTCTTTTACAGTGCAGAAGCTTTTCAGTTTCATGTAGTCCCATGTGTTTATTTATTTATTTATTTATTTTTTTTCTTCATTGTTTCCTTTGCCCTAGGACAGAGGTTGGCAAACTCATTAGTCAACAGAGTCAAATGTCAACAGTACAACAATTGAAATTTTTTGAAAGCCAAATTTTTTAAACTTAAACTATATAGGTAGGTACATTGTTTTTAACTTAATTAGGGTACTCCTAAGCTAGCCTTTGCTAAAATCTCAAGGGGCCAAAGAGCCACAAGTGGTTCACGAGCCACAGTTTGCGACCACTGTCCTAGGAAATATATCAGCAAAAAAAATACTGCTATGAGAGATGTCTGAGATTATATTGCCTATGTTTTCTTATAGGGTTTTTATGATTTCACAACTTACATTTAAGTCTATTATCTATTTTGAGTTCATTCTTGTGTGTGATGTAATTTGGTAGTCTAGTTTCATTTTCTTTTCATGTACCTATCCAATTTTCTCAACATTATTTATTGAAGAGACTATCTGTACTACATTTTATGTTCTTGCCTCCTTTATCAAATATTAATTGGCCATAGAGGTGTGGGTTGATTTCTGGACTCTTTGTTCTATTCCATTGATCTATTTGCCTGTTCTTATGACAGTACTGCTGTTTTGATTATAATGGCCATGAAGTATAGTTTGACATCTGGTATTGTGATACCTCCAACTTTTTTAATCATTCTCAAGGTTGCTGTGGCTATTAGGGGTGTTTTTTTCATATTCATTTTTGGAATATTTTCCTTATATCTATAAAATAAGTTATTGTTTTTAAAAAATATATTTTTTTATTGATTTCAGAAAGGAAGGGAGAGGGAGAGAAAGACAGAAACATCAGTGATGAGAGAGAATCATTGATTAGCTGCCTCTTGCATACCCTCTACAGGGAATCAAGTCCCCAACCTACACATGTGCCCTGACTGGGAATCAAACTGTGACTTCCTGATTCTCAACCACTGAGCCATGCCAACTGGGTTGTTATTGGTATTTTGTTGAATCTATAGATTTCTTGGGTAATATGGGCATTTTAATTATGTTAATTCTTTCAATCCATGAGCATATGTGCTTCCACTTTCTTGTATCATCATCTACTTCTTTCTTTAATGTCCTATAGTTTTCTTACTATAGATTTTCATCACCTTATTTTTTTTTAATTTATTTCTAGGTACCTTATTTTTTGTTGCTGTTGCGAAGAAAATGAGACTGTTTTCTTAGTTTTTCCTTCTGATATTTAATTATTGGTGTAAAAAATACCACCAATTTCTGGGTATTAATTTTGTATCCTGAATTCCCTTATTAAATCTAGTAGTTGTTTAGTGGAGTCTTCAGTGTTTTCTATTTACACTATTATGTCATCTGTGAGTGGTAACAACTTTATTTCCTCCTTCCAATTTGGATTCCTTTCATTTCTTCCTCTTGTCTGATCATAGTGCACAGGACTTCCAGTACTGTGTTGAATAAAAATTGTGAAAGCAGACTTCTGTCTTGTAGTTTTTGGTCACTGAGCATGATGTTTACTGAGAAATGATTCCTCTATTCCCACTTCATTGAGAGTGTTTGTCACAATGGGTGCTGAGTTTCATCAAATGCTTTTTCTGAGTCTATTGAAATGAAAATGTAATTTTAATCTTTCATTGTGATGTATCACATTTATTGGTTTTATAATATTCTGTTAACCTTGCATCTCTAACATAAATCCCACTTGGTCATGGAGTATGATTTTTTTAATATATTGCTGGATTTAATTTGCTAATATTTTGTTGAGGAATTTAGCATCTATGTTCATCGGGGATATTGGTTTATAATTTTCTTTCTTTGTTGTGTCTTTATCTGGTTTTGGGAATAGGATATGCTGGCCTCATAAAAAGAGCTTGGAAGTCTTTCTTCTTGAATTTTTTGGAGTGTAGACACAGCATTTAAATAAATAAATAATAAAAAATACTGGTTGAATTTGGTCAGCTTCTGGCTAGGACTGAAAAATAAACAATAAATTAATGTTAGTACAGAAATCACTATACCGTTCAGGAACAAAAGCGTGTGACTAATTGAATCTTTAAACATGGTGAATTATTAATAATACAGTTACTAGAACATAGAAGAATATGAGCTGTAGAGTACTGTTAGTTAAGCTGTTTGCCAGAATTTGAATTTCTGTAATCTTCCACCTAGCCATTTGACATTAAAGAAATTACTTTAAGATGAATGTTTATAAGAGTTATAAGTGTATTGCATTTTGGCATTCAATAAAACTAAGTTTGTTTATTAATACACTTAACCAGGAAGGTAGAGGCTTAAAATGGTGTTATAACACAAGGAGTTTAAAAAGATTTGCTGATTAAATCAGGAATAAAACTAAAGTAAATTCTTTAAGAATTTTTATCATTTCCTCAACCTGATAAGAATTGGATATTAATATATTTCATAAACTTAAATAAAAATATAATACTTAATATAAAACCTCAATTTTTTTTTTGTTTGCTTTTCTTTTGGTGAAGCAGAAGCTTATAGGACCCCAATGTTTCAGGGTATTTAAAGAGTAACTGGGACATTTTCAAGGTAATTCCATGTATTTCCATCGTGCTTTTATTGCTTAAGAGTATTTTCCACACTTTATTAACTTGTGTTTTCCTTAAATAAGCATTAGTATTTTATCTTGAAATTGTTTTCTTTTTTCTTAAAATTATTTTCTTTTTTCTTGAAAGCTATTGAAAATGTAAAAAAAAAAAAGAAAGAAAGAAAGAAAGAAAGAAAGAAAGAAAGAAAGAAAAAATGATGTAGCACACAAAAAAATTAGAATTAATTTTTCATGACCATTTTGAAGAACAATGTAATAGAATACAAAACCATATGGTATACAATATGTGGTATGAGTTTTTGAAATTACCTGTTTATATTATGCCTTAGAAAGGGCAATGTAAACATGCCTTGCTTTCTTCTTTAGCTCGGTGAAAAGTGGGATCCAGATGCTGTTTCATGGGACTTGTAAATTATCGGCACAATATTCTGTAGATATTATGAAAATTCAGAGCACTCTCCTCTTCTCTGCTTTCTTCTTTTATTCACACTAGAGACTCTGTGCATGAAACTTGTACACTGAGGAGGTTCCCTCAGCCCAGCCTGCATCTTCTCACAGTCTAGGAACCCTCGGGGGATGTCTGACTGACAGCTTAGGCCTGCTCCACCTGGGGAGGGCACTGACCAGCAGGAGGAAGCTCTTGCATTGAGCATCTTCCCCCTGGTGGTCAGTGCATATCATAGCAACCAGTCATTCCGCCATTCAGTC